GTGACTCGCGCTCGGGTCCATCCTCTGATGACGCGCCGCGCGTCGCAGGTTCGCCTTGAACACCTTGAACCGGTACTCGTGCTCCTCCGTCGACCCGTATGTCTTCCCAAACTTCCTCTTGAACAGCGAGAAGTGATGGTCCTCCGCGCTCAGTGACTTCTGATCATCGCGGTCCACCACCTGCCTGATCAACGGATCACCACCTTCCGTAGCTTCGACCGAAATGAAACCCTCATCGGCCAACGATGAAACCGAGGCCGTGAAGAGAGAAAAGAGAAGAAAGACAGACAATACAACACGATGATCCATCTTTACCATGCGATAAACAAAGGAACCAAAAGGATATATAGTTTATATACACAACTCTGAATATACACCTATATATATATATATATATTCTAATTCTTGTACGTGTATCCTATCTGTTCAGGACATGGATAAAAGAAGGAAGTTTGAAGCAAGATATGATGTGGGGGGGGGTTAGGTTTCAGGAGGAGAGGAGAGCTTATTATTATATACACGGAGCTAATAGACAATTGATGAGGGTAATTTGGTAATTCTAGGCGGAATGTAGGTTTGCTTCGCGAGGAGGTTAAGGATGGTAGCCAATAAGGGGACGACAGATGGCCGGGTTTGAGTGGTGAGGTGAAACGACAGTTGCTTATGGGTTTGCCATGTTTCTATTTTTAATTTTTTAAATTAAAAATAAAAATAAAATTAGATAAGGATTGAAGAGGATTTGATTGGATGACAGGGTTGTCGTGCAGTGGAATATAACAGCAAGGAAATATGAAAAGGACAAACTTTACTCCTGAGCCACTGAATGTTAGTTGGGTTAGAGATGGGAATTAGAAGGACTGGCGGGTTTGACCCCCCATTTTGCCATTTTATTTTTTAAATGAATAATTATTATTTTGAGAGTAAATTCTGTCATTATAATTCTAATTAAATGCAAAAAAATCAACTACTCTTCAAAATAAAATTCAACTTTTAAAATATCAAATTTAATGAGCATGACTCAATTTTTGTATGTTCAGATAATTGATTTTAGTATTTTTATAATTTGTTATTATCAAAATATTAATAACGTTCATAGAAATTAAAAAATGATGACAGAGTTCTTCAAATTAAATTAATACTATAAGTTTTTTGGAATTCCAGAAGAAGAAAAACGTTGTCATTGAAGAAATTAGCTTACAGCATGACCTAACCAACCAAAAAAATGTTACTATCGTGTGAGAGGGACTTCAATTTGACGTATAAAAATATGTGTAATATTTTATAGCACATGCATATATATATATATATATATATATATATCAAAATGAGAGAAGATGAAGCTAGAAGATAAACCATTGTATTTAATGGATGATGATGATGTTATACATAACCCATGCATATGAATAATATCGAAATGAGAGATGATGAAGCTAGAAAATAAACCATTGCTATTTAATAGATGATGATATTATATATAACCCATGCATATATATAATATCAAAATGAGAGATGATGCATAAATATATATATATATATCAAAAGTTCCACAATATCAAGAGGGCATCAAAGCAAATAACAAGTTTTTGACAGGAATTACTCAGAGAGGAGTGGGGTAAACTACAACTTCCAGGATCCTCTTCTCTAACTCAGACTCATCAATCCACGTGGAACTTTGTCTGCGTAGGACCTCATTCTTTTCTGTTTTCTTCTCTTCCTTCATTTTTTCTTTCATCCTCCAATTTTCCAGCTTTTCTCTTCTCTCTTTCAACTGTATTTCATACAAACACGGGTGAATGTGGTGGGAATACAAAAGTATAGACTCAATAAAGAAGGTCAACTGCCAACAGATTCAAATCCTATATTGATGAACTTTACACATCAGTCTTTATATCTGTAAACAGAGGCTCACTCCTGGCATTATCACTATGTGAAGCATGTAATTATACTGTGTATCATGCCGACAACCATACAGTGAAACCACTTTCGACAAACATGCCAATGAACGAAAGCTTATAAACATTGACTAGAGAAGAAAACTTTACGAATTTCATTAAGGATTTGCTCAAGTATATTGAACATTTGAGAACTTGAAAAAGAATATTACTGTTCCTCTAAACTTATTTGGCACATTCACATTTCTACTTTTGAACCAGTTGAAATACCAGTGGCGTAATCCCATAAGGAGGAACTCAAGAAAATCTACAGGTCTGGTTGGGAAATCCAATACCAATTAGTAAAATACATTCAGATGTCACTAAACCTTAAATAACATGACATACAGGCAAATATGTGATCTCACAAATATGCATGAATATGGTCAAGATTTTTGTTCAACTTTCAGAATAAAGGCACAAAATTTTCAGCTTCAACTAAGGATGAGTCAATTTATTGCATACAGTTAACATCAACAACTCACAAAAACGAATTGTCAACTTTGTTATGAGTAACTTAAAAGGAATAAGAAAGGAAAAGTGGAAATTCCCCTTGTGTAGATAACTAAAAATTGAAAACAATAAAGGAAAAGACACGGTTCTGTAGTATTTTGTTTGGTTTTAGCTTTATAAAGGAAGAAAAATGATTTCTTATGAGGAAATAATCAATATTATCCTTTATTAGGAAATTTATTTTTCCTCTTCTTCCCCGAATTTAGATGAAGAAAAATTTAGAGTTTTAAGGGAAAGGGAGGGATGCTCATCCATCCATCGCTTTCCTTTACTAATCATTATTTTTTTATTCAACCAAGATAAAAGGAGGGTGATCATCCTCCTTTTTTTTAAAAGAAAAAGAAAAGAAAAAGAGGGTGACCATACCATCATTTTCTTTTCTTTCCCTCTACTGAAATTTTCCAGCTAAACAAGTGAATATTCTGGAGAGCTTAATCACTCAAAAAAGCTTTCAATGGAGACTAAAAAGCATATAAGAAAGAGACTTGAGGATATCTTGAAAACTTCAAAAAATGGTAAGGGTTTTATCTATGTTGTGTCTGTTATTGAGAGTGCCGAAGCATAAGAAGATTACCATATTATCAACCATGCCATAACTAACGTCACATTGATAGACTTGATTGTCAATGAATGAGGAAAAGAAAACATCTAGAGAAACAATTGGCATTCAAGAAAAGGAATCAAAAGAGCGAGTCAAAAACAGAAAAAGAGAACAATGAATACATACAAGTATTTTCCTGAACTCCTCTTCAGCAACCATCCGCTCCTGGGCTCTGACCTTGGCGATCTCAGCCTTCAAGCGCTTGCGCTCCTCGTTGGCAGCCCTTATGGCCTGCATCCTGGCCTCATCCTTCCGCTGCTTCTCAAGGCGGAGCAGCTCCATCTCGTGTACGTACTCCTTGCGCAGCTCTGCCACTTGCTTAGCATAGTCTCTCCTCAACTGGGCCAACTTCCTCTCTGCCTCTTTTGGGTCCTTTGGTGCTTCCCAAGTGCCTAAGAAGGAATTGGCCTCCAAGAACTTATGGTTCTGTTGGTGGTGGTTGTGGTGGCTGGTTGCTTTGGTGGAAAACAAACGTGGGTTTTTTGCCAGCCCATGCAAAGAAGAGCCAACTCTGCCCATGCTGGTGGCCATGGTTTTTACAATCACAGAGAGAAAGGCGAGGACATGGTGCAACTTTGGGCTTGCAGTTTTATGGTTTCAGCCTTGCAGGTTTCTAGTGGCTTTAAATTATCAAAATTGCCTGGTCTGTAAAATGCTAAAATCATTTAGGAAATTTCAGAAACAAATTTGAAATTATTCGTATTAATAAATATGATAACTTGTTCAGTAAAATGAATAGCTTTATACTATGAAATAGTATTAGAGTAAAACATATTATTAAGGCAACAATGTTTGAACTGTTGGTTGAAATTCCACTCTTTTGGTGCCTTTTCTAATGTGGAAATGGAAATGATAAAACTAATTTGTGTTTATAAATGAATCCTCCTTACACTATGTGGATATACAGTTTGACCTCATTCATATTCATACAATATTTTTCTTTTGACGAATTTGTACCTAAATTTGATTTTTGCTATTTTATACAAAACCATTAGTTTACTAACTTTTTATTGTGTATGGTACAACATATACTCAATTGTTTAAAAAAAAATCACAAGATTTGAATTAAAATAACACTATAATACAGTGTAAAATTATAATTTCCTCCATTTTTACTTTAATTGAAACAACCACGTTTTACATTTTCAAAAATATATTACTTCATATTAGTATCATGGTAAAAAAAAAGTTCATATCTAATCAAATTTCTTTCACATTAATCAATCATATGATCCTATTCTCTCAAAACTCTAAAATTTTCCATTGTCCTTTTTTTGTTATTACCAATTTCTGGGTTTTGAATTTGTTAATGAGCAGCACACAAACCAGCAGTAGTAATTCTAAAATCTAGCTCTCAAGTTCATAAGTTTGTAATTATCATAAGTTCTGAAGGCAAATATCTAATAAGCCTAAACCAACCGGCCACGGATCGCATGCCAAGAAAACATTGAAACGGAAATGACATGTTGAGACAAGTATCATCAAATCCTCAATTCCAATTAAGTAATAAAAATAAGCAAAATAAAATATGTAAACAAACTGAAGAACAAAGATGAAACAGAGGCATCTACGTCAGTCTTCCTCATCTTACTGAACTAAGGATAAAAAATCACTGAAACCACGCAATTTCTATTTCAAGTTCGGTCAAGCAACTGCAATTCGCCAGAAGAAAAAGAGCAGAGAGCTTACCTGCTGAAGACTCGCCGAATAAGCTACCAATAGAAAAAACCAGGGAAATCGTACACATCATCCAAGCCGGCGGAAAATGAATCTCGCCGAGTACTCACAGTAGAACGCGACTTTGATTGAACAAAACAGAGCCAGACTGGTGCAGTGATAAAGACAGTAGAGAGGGAACGGCTGTCATAGGAAGCTAAGAAACTAGTGTTTTAGTCAGAGAACCGGCTAACAGAGACGAGTCGGTAATAGGCTAAAATGCCTGGATATGCAGGCGTCTGGAGAAAATTCAATTCAGAGGCAGACGCGAACGGGGAAGACGAGGGTTTCGTGGGAAGTTAGAATTTGTTTAATGGGCTTCGAAATGGGTTTAAATGGGCACGTGGGAATTTATTATGGGCTTACAATATGAAATGAGAAAGGATTTAAGTAATATATTATAAAATAATAATAGAATATTAAAAATATAATTAAATGATAATAAATATAGTTAAAAATTCTGAAAAATAATAATAGTTAAATTTATAATTAATACAATAATAAAAAAAAAAACTCTATCAATTAGACATTACGACATACTCATTAATCTCAAATCGTATTAATAAATATTTTATTTCGTCTCTAACGTATTATTTATAATTTAAAATTTTTATTATTTTATTTTTAAAAAAATTATTATTAAATTACACAACATATTTTTTTCCGTTTACAAGAAAAAATTAATATATAATAATAAGTAATTTGAGTTTCATAAAACTCTAACCATATTGTTAAATTTTATTTTTTTAATGTCACGACAATTATTATACTTTATGAATTCAAAAGAACATAGTAGTTTAAGGATCTCCACTTTAACTAATTTTTTATTAATATTTATTTTTAGTAATTTAAATATATATATATATATATATGTAGAAAATGAGTGATTGTCATAAAAAGAGTTCAATAGAGAAAAGTCAAAAAGATACCAAATCTCTAAGTTGCATGGGCACCAATACACAAAAAGATATTTTCGATAAAACAAAAGTTGAAAAAGTGGCAATGATTAGAAAGAAATATATCTATATATTTTTTAAAAAATGAGAATAATAATTTTATTATTTTAAAAATTAAAAGGACAATAAATATTGACTATTAAATTTTGTCTGACTCCACCAATATACAAATAGAATTTAATTATACATACCCTTTAATTACATATTCCAAAAAGTACATACTAATAATTTATTAGTTTTATAAATAGTGATTTTAATAAATAATCAAGTATAATAATTGAACAAATAATCTTGGTAACTTTTATATATATATATATATATATACTAAGGTGAGTCCATATATCATATATGCTTTTAAAATAATAGATTTTGAATTATAAAAAAATATTTAAAACATAATCAAAATAAATAAATAATTAAAATTATTTAAAACTTAAAAATTAATTAAAAAGTGTTATTCTGTTATTACTTAAGCCTGATTGATTCTTGGGGATTCAATAAGCATGAATCGATGAACCGTACCCATTCCACCTTCTATGGTTTTCGAGCTTATCATATTCGGAATTTATTTTTTAATTAATTAATTAATTTTTAAATAAGGGATTATAATCACTAAGTAGCTCTTAAATGCTTAAAATTTTATTTTAATTATAAACTAATTATTAATCACCACTAAAATTAGAAAATTAATCAAAAATTAAGAGCTTTAATAATTTGTTTGAATAATTAATTAAAAAAAAATGCGCACCACGTTTTTCTTATATTTAATCTTTGTTTGTTTTTTGTTTTTTTTTTAGTGCACCCATGTAATAATAATGGAGATAAATCAAAAGTATTTAAAACATGAAAATCATTACTCGTATTATTTTAAATATTAATGATAATAATGGAAATATATCAACAATATTTAATTTATATGATATTAATTTAAGAAAATTTTGCGCATAAAATATTAATTGTAAAATTAAATAATTAATTATTAATTTTAAAGGTATTGCTAATTTAGTTAGACTTGGTTTAGAAAATTAGATAATATAAATATTTAAAAAATAAAATAAAAAATTAAATTATAATTAAAATAATTATTATATGCTCCAAAATATATTATGTATTAAAAAAATATAACAACTGTGGTTAGTATAATTTGACGTGGAAACAAATAAAATACTATATTTACATTTATATTCTATTTGGATCGTAGTAAATAACAGAATTTTAATGTATAATATTTTAAGGGTGTAAAAAAATAATATTTGTTTCAACTTTTAATGGTAACAAACAATATATAATTGATAAATTTATGATGAATTTTAAAAGTATCGAATTGGTAATATATAATTGACATATTATTTTTTTTTTCCTTTATACTCTCATATAATATATTTAATTATATTTTTATTATCATAATTTATTATTTATTTTATTAAATATAAAAATTTAATTTATAATAATTATTTATTTAAATATAAATATAATTATATTAATAAATAGTTTAATTTTTTATTATATATTTGTTATATAATATTTATTATTATATAAATAAATAAAAATAAATTAATAATTTAATTAAAAGTATAATAATATAATTTTATCATTCAAATAAAAATAAATTTATATTATTATCATCTAATTATTATTATTATTATAATATATTAATTATTATCACAGTTTGTTAATATCTAGAACCTAGAGTTAATCACATGTTGACTTTAAGAGTCAAATCAAATTTATTACCCCCTGACATTTTTCGTGTAGCTTATTTCGCCATTAACTAATCTCTTTAACTGACAACTAAGAAAGA